TACATACGAGGATCGAGTGCACGTAGGGATACCCGATGATGAGGGCCAGGACGGCGTACTTGCTCCAGGCGCTGACGTCGGCGGGCAGGAAGGCGAGGGCCATGAACATGGGGAACAGCCAGACGGAGCAGAAGGAGATGATGAGGAAGCGGTTGTTGATGCGCTCCGAAACGCGCGACCAGAAGATGAGCTGGAAGATGAAGATGGCAAAGGCCGGCACGGTCAGCAGGTTGGTCTGCAGCGTCGTGAAGCCGAGGTTGCGCAGCGTCAGGGTGAAGTAGGCCATGACGGGCCGCAGCGGCATGAGGACGGTGAAGCCCATGAGGTAGATGGGCCAGAGGTCAACGTCGGTGAGGGACGACCAAAGGAGCTGGAGCGTCAGACCCTGACGGTTGTGCATGCCGCCCTTGCTGGGGTCGTCGCGCAGGATGCGGTTCACCATGACGACCTCCTCGCGCTCGGTGAACCAGCCCTTGCGGCCCCGGAACCAGGAAGCCGTCTGCGTCGGCGAGGGGGGCATGTAGAGGTATGAGAAGACCCCGATGAGGGCCGTCAGACCGCCCTCGATGGCGAACATCCATCGCCAGCCCTCCCAGCCGCCGACGCCGCGGAGCTGGAAGATGCCGACGGCGAGGAAGGCAGCGATGATCTGCGTGAGGTAGGACGAGGTGTAGAAATAGCTCAGGCGGATGGGGAGCTCCTTGCTCGTGTAGAAGTAGGTCAGATACAGGATGGCGTCCGGGATAAAGCCGCCCTCGAGGAGACCGAGTAGCGCGCGGGTCGCATAGAATCCCTTTCTCACCCACGAGGATGGACTGGCACGCCGCGACTATAGACCAGCTAACCATCTGAATGGGGATCCAGACATCAGGGCCGAGCTTCTTCGAGATCATTTGCGAGGGGCACTCCGCGCTGAGAAAGGTCACGTAGAAGATGGTCATGCCGTAGTTGTACTGGTTCGTCGTGAGGCCAAGGTCGTCGAGCATGTTGTCCGACAGAGCCTGGCTGATATTGCCGCGGTCAAGTTGAAGGGCAAAGAACATGATGCACACCCAAGAGCAAATGCGGTAGTCCAGCTGTGCTGTCATTAGAAACATTTCCATGTGGGAGATGGCCAGGTTTCAAGCCTGCAACGTACCCTCCTCACGAGCTTCTTCTCTTCTTTCTCCGTCCATACAGCGGCAGGATCGTAGCGGTGCCTTCCTTCATACTCGGGAATGGGCTCGTACAACGCGCCCGATGCTCCAGCAGCCCAGATGGTATCCTTGCCTCCACTGCCGGCGTAGACCTCTTCAGACTTGGGCGTCGCCGTCGCATCGTTGTCCGAGTCGGTAGCACTTTGAGCAATGGCCTTGTCCGCGGCCGGGGGTTTCTCGTTGGGGGTAGACATGGTTGGGAGAACCCAGAAGACTACGCATCTCAAGACAGCCGGCTGTTGATGTCTTGTCGTTCGCGTGGCAAAGCTTGTTCCGTCTTGACCTCGCACGCCGTCTCTTGCAGGTTCTCTATCAGGCTGCGCCATTGTGCACAAGGCGTGCGTCTTAGCCTTATAAGCAAGATTCCCACCATGATGCCGAGAATCATGGACTTTTCATCGTCTATCACCACATTGCCTTCGGGATGGTATCATTGAAAATGGCCTTCGAAGTCCACCTGCGGCCGCATCTCCGAGGAGGCAAGGACCAATCTCTCCGACTTGGGAGACACTGGCAGTGAATCCTACACAAAACACCAAACAGCGAGGCCTTCAGGGCCAGAAAACTGATTCAGGCATGCAGATCGTCACCGAAACCTTTAAATTCACGTTGCAGTTTGGGCCACACGCTGGAGAGCATTCCAGATCGAACATTTCCGAGGAGGTCTGCCTTCCAAGAATTCGAACCCTACATCATGTAGGAGTGACCGAGAAAGCTCCATTGGAAAGCGGATAAATTGATGCTTGAAAGGAAGTGTGGTTGGCTGCGAAAGGGCTGATCAGACGCGCGACTTGGGATGCAGATATCGCGTCAGTCGGTAGTCGGATGTCGACATGCAGTAGATCGGGGGCGCCACCGGGGTAGGAAGTCTCCGCCATGTTCGATCTGACGTACCACAGCTGCGGCTTCGTCATCCGTTTGAATTTTAGTTACGTTTTGCAGTGTTTGGACGTGGTCTGAAGCTGGTCCATGTCATGTCACTGGTGGTAGCAATTTGATGCATCCAGAGCAAGCTGATCCGGACCTGGTAACATAGCACGTTCAGTTGACGCCCCAGCCTTTCATACATCAATACATGTATGATAGAAAATCATTCCATCAGTCAACTGCGCTTGACTAGCTAGGGGCATCGTAGTGAAATGATTGTCCATGGCGATTCCTGGAGAGCGAGTCACAGCCTGCCGACATCCGCAAAGCTTCTGCTTAGGCAACGAAACTTGCCCTCTATGTTCAAACTACAGTCTGTCCTAGGACGAGGCATGCAGCTTTGCAGAGAGGCAGTAAATGTAGAGCGGTTGAAGCCAGCTCGACTTTCGTGGGGCCGCGACTTGGCGGGGTGGGATGTGGCTTGGTGGCGGCGCGCCCAAGACGTATGGCGTCCGGCCCGCCGTCATCGGTACCCCCTGATGCTTGACTACATTCCTACTTGCAGTGCAGCGGGCGAGTGTGAGATGCAGAACAAAATGCCTTGGAGGGTTGCTGTTCGCCAAGGCTCAGTTCGTGAGAAGTGTCAAACACGCTGTAAGTAATGAGCTCGTCATCTCGACATGTCACGCTCGTCGCCGGTATTCTAGCCCCGCGACCCTGCGCAGCGAAACAAATGCTCTGGTGTGCGTATGAGAAGATCCAATCTGTGCCCTCATCTCCCACGTGTGTACAACGGATCAATTTCAATTGTCGGGTTGTGATTTGTTAGCCGTTCACGAGCACGCCGCATTCATCAATGCCGCCGACCGTTCGGTTGTCGGTGCCACCACGTGCATATTGTACCATCACGTCAACGTTTCGTGCAGGGGTCTGCGTTGGTGCAAGGGTATCTCCGGAGATGTTTGATTCTGCTCAACATCGGAGTCGGATGGACTCCGACACGGAACAGACTAAGCAATGTCAATATTTCAAAATCCTTGAAGGTCCTTCCTCCTGGTTTGTCCTTTGTACGCGCGGGCGTTCCTCGATTTTATGGTATGACGTCGAGAACCTTCGCGTCGCACGCCCAAAAGAAGGTGTGCTTTGCCGTCGAGCCCGGGCTATTTTCTTGTCACCAGATGGAAACAAAAAAAAAGAAGGGTGTGCAGAGAAGAGAGCGGGTGTCCGCTTCTGGCGGAATTCTGGACGTACAGTCTTCTCCGTCGTGAGGAGGAACTGGCTGGCCGTTGGTGTTGGGCCCCGCATTGGCCATGCTGGACGTGGTACGGCTTAATCGGGCTTCAAAGTGCTGAATTCCTCCGCAAACTCCTTGCCCCAGATACTCTCGCCACCTGTGCCGTCGCCCATGGGGTCGCCGCACTGGATCATGAACTTCTTGATGACGCGATGGAAAATCGTGCCATTGTAATAGCCTCGCTTAGAGTGTGTGACGAAATTCTCGACAGCCTTTGGTGCGGCATCGGGGAAGAGACGAATGCTGATGTCGCCATATGTTGTGTGCAGCACGGCAGCGGTGCCTGTCTCGGCCGTCTTGGCTTCAGCCGCCTTCTGCTTGCCTAGCATTGTCGGCTTCTCGTTTTGAACGTCCCTGACCGACTTGGAGACCTCGCTTTCGTTTGTGAACATGTAGAAACGGACCTTGCCCACGCCCGTCGCGAACAGAATGGGGTCTCTAGATTCTGACTCCTGCAGTAAGGGATTGCTCGAGGCGCCCATCTCGACTGTGGTGATTCCCTTCTTCTGCGGTTGGCCCTGGTAGATCGCCAGGTTGACTGCCCTGAAGTTCTCATCCTTGCCAAACACCTTGACCACCTTGTTCGTAAACGTGTTGAGGACCTTGATGCCAAAGATGGACCCGTATATGATGAAGTTTCCAGATTCGTCAAAAACGACATTGGCCTTGTCGCTGTAGGCCGGAGAATCGATTTCACGCTCCAGCGCGAACCTGCGGCCGTACTCGACGGCGTCCAGTTTTGACAAGGCAGTTCCGGCCTGCTGCATCTCTTCGATGACCTGGAGGGACTCGTCATATGTCCTGTGCAGCTTTCCCGAGGCAAAGTCGAACACGCGTATCTTCCTGTCGGGCTGTGAGAAGACAGCGAACTGCTGGCCGTCCGGCGAGATGCTCAAAGACGTAGGGACAGTCTTGGCCTTTTTGAATTCGAAGAGATTCGTGGAAGCCTTGTACTCGAATACATTGTCGGGCTTCTCATAGTCGCCGCTCGGCCGCCAGTATTCAACAAGGCCCTTGTCATCTACCGACACGACACAATCGTAGCGACTGTTGAACGACATGATCCTGACAGGGCTTCGGTGGAGAGACTTGATGGTCTGTGTCGGCTCCTGTTTCTCGCCTCTGCCGTCGAAGATGTGGACCAGAGGTTTGGCGTCTTCCGACACGGCGAGCAGCGGCACCGAGGCGCCCCTGTTATGTACCCAGCAGATGCACCGAGGGGTGAAGGCGAGGTTGATCATGGCGAGCAGGTCAAAGGTCGTAATGTCAAAGATTTTCAGCGTGTCGTCGACGCCACGCTGTTGCAAAGCTCCTGCCGTCCTGGCTAACCGAAACTGACTTGATCTCGCCCTGATGGGCCTTGAACTCC